GAATAGACGCCACCCTGCTGGAAGAGAAGCAGGCCACTTGCAGGGCATACGTAGATTGCATATGTATGACCTTTTTTGATTCCACCTAGTCTCTGCTATTTTTGGTCCCAGATCATAAGCAGTTTTCCTTCCGCCTATCCTTCGTTTCACCCAAGGTGGGCGCGTCTAAGGCGAAGAAGCAGGAGAAGGCCAGGTGGGGGTGGGTCATTTGACAGCTTTCGCTACAGAACGACCTTCAGACCTTCTCTTTCGGATGGCTTGGCTGTAGCTCTTGGGCTTGGCTGTAGCAGCGTCCAAGGCGGCCAAGGAGGTGCTGCAGAGCAAGACCTTCGCACAGATCTGCGAGGAGCCCAACGAAGGGGACGCGAAGCTGGCGCAATCGCTCAGTGAGGAGGACCTGAAGAAGGTGGTGGAGAAGGCGAGCTGCGACATGCTGCCAGACGGCTTGGAAGAGGTTTCTGGAAGAGCTGTTGGGAGCCAGGTGGGAGGTGAGACCAAGCATCAAAGATTGTTCAAGAGGATCAAAGATCCACATACCGCCATAGACTGAAAACGAACTGGGACTTTTGCACGTGGAAGAGACTTGCCCGAAGTTAGCTGGTCAGGTCGGGTTCGCGGGGCGGTCTGGGTGTTGGTGTGGGTGTAGTTCCTACGGTGAGGCATTGGCCTGATCGATCTCCCCACATATTTCCACTACCAAAGACTCAGAGCTCAGCGCAAGGATCTTGCGAATCCCTGCACCCGAACGCGTCCGACTGGTCCTCTCGTTCCAGTTGTTACAAGAAAGGTGTTTGCCGACAGAGCTCTGTCAGCAGGCAACAAGTAACAGACGCGTCCCCAGAGCTTCAGTCGGACATGGCGTCCCCAAGTAACAGAACCAAACCTATCAGGGACCACAACCTGGTGTTGTCAAGGTGGCTGAACCACTTGACTTCAGTCGGACATTCCAGGGAGAGGGTCTACCAGTCTACTGAAGCACATGAAGGGGAATCCTCAACCAAGTGCCACTGTATCCAACTTCATTAGTTCAGTTTCCCCGGTGCTTCTGTAGTTGAATACATCTTGAACTCTTGCCATGATTTTCATCTACTTTTCTTAGACCCCACGAAAACTTGATCAAAGAGAGCTATCCAGACTCGTCCATTCATCAGACTCGTCAGACTTGTGGCGCAGCACAAGACTGCGCGCCTCTAGGCCTCCAAGGGCATTATGACGGCAGAGCAGGCTGACAGCGTTGCAAAGAAGATCCAAACTGAAGGAGTTGAGAAGCTCTCTGATGAGCTTCTCACTCAAGAAGAGGAGGCTCTTTTTCGCTTGGACCTGCCGGCCATCCTGACCCTGGTTTGTCCTGTGTGTGTGAAATGCTTTTGAAGCGGAAGGATCTGGACCGTTGCAGACCAAAAAGACCAGCGATTTTCCAATAACTAAGAGGACCAAAGGACCACCAGATCGGGCCGAAGCCGAAGCCACCGGTTGTGCTGGACAGCGCGTTTTTTTCCGTCGAGGCCATTGAGAAGACCCTTCAACATGCCACGGCTGCGTCATTGATGGCGCTGCAGGCCAGCAGTCTGGGGTAAGGGGTAACGGGTTGTTGACACACATATGGTGGCCGTGGTAAGTGGTAACTCTGAAATCCAGGGTGGGTTGACCCACACTTTGTGGTGTGCATTTTCTGCTTGAAGCGCTTCTCGGGTGGTTTCAAACCACCGCCATGTGAAGAGACACCAGCTCTGTGATTCGAGCGTCTTCCGCAGCGGACGAGCCGGCAACGTCCAGGCGAATGAGACATTGCCGGGTTCTCTCATGGAACTGAGCCAAGCCAATGAACAGCAGCTGCAGGGCTTCTTCTACGGGATGCAACTTGGGTTTTGGCAGGAAGTGAGCCAAATTCCTTTCTTTGATGTTTTGGGGGCACCTTAGCTGGTCCAACTGTTTGCCAAGTCTTGGTCTGAACTCTGAACTGTTTTGGTTCTAGACAATGATCCGTGGGGCAAAGATTCTTTTGAGGGCCCATTGCTATCTTATTCTTGGATCCCAACTGGAGGGTAACCGGCCCAGGATATCTCTTTTGATCTCGATCATTGCTCGAGTAATTTACCTGGCCACGGAGGGAGCCTTCGCTTTGGTCTGCTGCCTCTTGAGCATCGGGGACCTTACAGAAAATGAAGGCCTTGGTGTCCACAAGGAGTTCACCACACTTCAGCGAGGTGCGGGTGTCCAAGTCTCCACTCGGTGCACAGGTCTTGAACAAATGCATCCTGGTGCTACAAAAGAGGGAGCCAGACCGGAACTGTGACCTATTGACCACTGAGAGTCTTGAAACTGTGGGAAAGGTCAGAATGTGCTCTGGGCACAACAGCTGTTGCGTTTGGTTACTCAGACGGAAGTGGTTTCACTTCTGGCTTTGAAAAGCCACCCAAGTAAGCTGAGTCAAATCTGAGTCAATGAGACCAGTCTTATCGACAAGTTGTATAGCTCATAATATGTGAGGATTGAGCATCCAGTAATAACGCAACCTTCAGTCGGCATTTATATAAGCTAATAGTATTGTTTTTGATTGCTGGCTTTTAAACAGATCCTGCTGAGCCTGTTAGTATTGTTTTTGATTGCTGGCTTTTAAACAGATCCTGCTGAGCCTGTTTAGGGAGTCGGGAACATTCAACATTTCAATTCTGGTGCCGTTGTTTTCATGGACTTTTTGCCGACTGAAGGTCCTTAAAGCCATGCACCCCCTGCGCCTGTTGATTTTTTTTGGAAGGGCTGAAATTTCAATCCTTTTTCAACTCCCCTCCTTCGATCGACGTTACATCGATTAAAAGCTGCGCGCGCAGTGATGTGGCCATTAACCTGCCCGGTCATGGTGCTGCGCTATGCTGCTGGCTTGGGCGGCTTGGCGGAAAGCGAGCGTCACAGCTCGCGCAGATGGGGAGAGGGGGAGGATGGGGAGCGAATTTGCGAACACGACGAGATGAAGAGTAATTCTTATAGAGACTCTTTTAAAAATCAACTCCAGACTTACTTAATTTTGTTTTGTTTGGGGGGAGGGCAGGGTGTGAATCGCACAAAACATCACAAAACCCCCGCATGGAGTCGTCCAAGTTGGTGGTTTCTACTCGAAGCGTCCCGATTTGGAGGGCATCGCTGCAGTGTCACGTTTGTTTCGCTTTGGCTGCAGGCAGCAACCCGGAGGACAGGGACGCCTTCTCCGAGAGCAGCTTGGGCTGGCGTGGGGTGATCGAGGCCTTTCAATATGACTGAAGCACTGACCCATCCGCACTGCGGTTGCCTCTGCAATGCTGAATGTCACGGCGGTTGCCTCTGTCGTGGCCCATCCTCCCCAAAGCACGGATGGGGCCGTCCGTTCTGTGACGTGCACCTGTGGAGTGCAAGGGTGGAAGTACTGTACACTGTGCATGCTCTTTGATTTGTGGGAAGAAAGTGACTCTGGCAACGTGAAGGAACATTTCATTCGATGTCGTATATGTACTTTCGTCCGGGATTTATATAGATGCAAAAGGAAATGAGTACGGAATACTGTGTATACATGCTTTTTGGTTTGGAACAGAGATTACATTCAATCTAGCATAGTCGCTGTCAAGAAGATTTGGACAACTAGTGTGCATGGTATAGAACGTCAATGGCACAACATAGATTTGCTTATTCCTTGGCATTTTTCAGTGCTTGGAGCATTTCATTCGAAAACATTGCTTCTTCTCTGACCATTTCTCAAGCTTGACATTCTCAGCACCCTCTCGTTCTTTGTCGAAACATCTCGATCATGGTTCGGTTCCAAGTGGTCGTGCTTGCCTTCCTCTTTGTGAACTTCAATTTGACCGGAGCCAAACGCACCCTGTCTGGTTCCGGCAACTCCATGGATGTGGTTTCTTCCGTCCCAGAGTCTGACTCACTCTTGGACTTGGACTGTGATGTGGATGCCGAGGATCAAGAGATCTATGGTCCGAAA